ACATCGAGAAATTACTTTATACGTAATTTGAAAATATATAATTGGCTTGAGAAATATTTTAAAAAAGCTTCTTCGCGCGAATTGATGTATAGAATGACAACTTTAATTTGTAACGAGATCAGTTTTCTTTAGAAGATAAAAATATAGGATACATATAGATTCAATCTATTTCTTCTCCTTTTAAAATTAGTCAAAACTTTTTGCTAAAAACTGATACTAAATAAATCGAAACGTTTATTTATTGTTACTAAAATATATATCCGTAGAACTAACAATAACATTACATCAATATTATAATTTTCTATTGAACAAAATAAATGTAATATATAACACATATTGTATATAATAGTTCCAGTTGAATAAAAAATTATAACACTGTAATGTTACTGTTTGAGCTTTAAAAGAAATATGGCAACTCCGTAAAAGACATGCTGCAATGTTTTCTTTATAAAATGACGAGCTTTCTCTCGAATATAATTTAATATAATTGTATAAGCGGAGTAATAAACGTAATGTACGAATACATTACAGATATATTTTTTTAAAATAAAACTAATATTTTCTTTCTTTCTTTAAGAGAGTTTAATTTTCATCATTGAGGAAGACCTTAATAAAAGCTGAAATTAGTTTCAACTAAAGAATGATTAAAATACATAGGGACTTCAATTGAAAAGGACAGCTATATTGTGTTGCACGGATACAATATTAGACATTTTGTGCCCAGAATTCTTAATATCACTGATTATTGATTATTATTGAGCATTAACATCTTGGCAGACTTGATTTCTTTCAGACTGAATTTCTCCAGAAACTCTATTCTAAAAATGTGAAAAATGGCACAAAGCCTTTAAACAGTATAATTCATATAAGGTTTCAAAATAGCAATCTAACATTCCTTTTTTCATGTGCATTTTTATCTATTTTATATTGTATTATGTATGTACGATACTCCAGATTTTTTTCGTACTATATGGCATATGAAATTATAGTTAAGATAATTATAGTTAAGATAAAAGATTTCTAACAGAAATGGGGGATCAAAAATAACAGCTTCTTCTCTTTGTAAAATTAGCCAAAATTTTTTGCTAAAAAATGATACTAATAAATAATAAAAGTAATAAAATTAATAAAATTACTAAGTACTAGTATATATATAATAAAAAAAATTCAATGTTTATTTTGGATTTATCTTTATTGATGTAACGACAATGTAAATTCTGATTGCATATATCATGATTTTTTATATTTGCCTGACTTTTATGTATATAGCGATATTTAAATTCTGATTTTCAGATTCATCATTACGGAAGATTCCAACACTGGGGGCCGAAACATTCAACATGACTTTAAAGCGCGTATTACCGGATTACCTCTATTGTATATATATATATATATTATTTTTGCATATCGCTTGCGTATTGACATCTGCATGTTGGCTTAATTATTCTTATTGCCTTTATCTGTCGACTGAAGAATATAATACTTCTGGAACAATTTCTGCATACGTTGCCGTTTCGTCTCCGTTGCAACAAGAATCTTCCATTTAGTTGTATTAAAATGCTACAGAACGTTTCGTATTTCAAAAACAAAGATCAATTCCTTTCTGAAATGATTCCCTTGTAGAGCAGTTCATTTGAGAATGATATCTTACCTTACTCACCCCGAGATAAACAATTGATTAAATGAGAAAGCAACAAGCATTATCGCGTCATGAACGATTACGTTTATCAGTCTCTTTTTTTATGAAGAATCTAAAACTTGCGTTTGTTCGTATATTCCCTCTCATACAAAAAATTGGCATTTTCATATTTTGGGGAAGCGTGAGAATTGTTCCACGAGTGCACTTTTAAGATTCAGACACAATAAAAAGTACAGACAACATACTGAAAAAAGATTTGTTAATTCTGATAGATTCAACTAGAAAAATCTATCAATCATTCTAATCGAGATAATCAGAAATTCAATTAATATAAGAATTCTGATTAATATGATCAGAATTCGTTTTATTTGTACTTCTAGTTAATACAATCAAATCATTTTTTTTTCAGTGTAGGAATAGAAAACACAGGCAATATTATAATATATATTTCAATGTACCAGAAATTATGTATCAACGCACAGCAATTTCTGATAGGTTGAATTTTGTTTGTGTTATTCTTTGTTTCTATGCTTGTGCCTTTTATTGTGTGCGGGGCCTTATTCCCGATAATTCGATAATTCACGGTAGACGTAACTAGGGCGAAAGTTATTGTGCGGCGTAGTTTTTTTTCTAAAGCCTCTTAGCTTCGCACGTCGTGCGGAAATCAATATCGTCAAAAATAGATATACCGCGTGCTGTGTTCGCGCCGTCATGTGCCAACACGTGCTTCCGCGTTTGACATTTAACATGAACCAATTTCGCAAACGCAACTTTGTAGCCGAGAGTTGTCACGCACCGACTATTGTAATCGCGTATCTTGGCAAACCATTCGGAAAGAGCGGGATCCAGATCGAACGAATGCGAACGCATGCGAACAAATAGCTTGTCTGAATCAGTGCGAACGATGCCGCGGTTGGAATAAATTCGTTCGTTTAACAAATAAGTAAAGAAGATAATATTCAAAATAAATGCCTAATAATATTTTTGTGTAACTTTTTATAATATAATGTAATATTATGATTTTTATAATATAACGTAAATTTTCTTCCAACTTAAACTGCCGATTATTTGTCGATTTTGAAACATAATTCTATAAGCTGAAAGTGGAGTACGTATAAATATTACAAATTAAATTGATATATAATTTAATATTGCTGTTGCTAATGAGCATCTTCAAAATACTGTAAAGAATTTATTAAAAACATCTCAACCAGGATTTGAAATTAGATCTCCCTTACTCGTTCGTGTTCACTTAATCTGGATCATGACTGAAAGCGATCAGCTTGCAAGAAATATTATAGAAAGAATTGGGAAAAGAACGAAATTCACGAGACGATTACGTGATTCAGTTTTTGGATTCACGAGCGTTTGCTTGTGCTTGTCGAATCCTTATTATACGATCTTTTTGCTAGGACCAATCATGCTTGATATTTGATCGCATTTTATTTCTCAACGAAGCTATAAAAAGGCACATTAAAAAATTACACGTTGACACCTTAACGAAGTTTGAGAGTAAAGTAATCGGCGTGTACAATTACATTTTCGTGTCTCGCACGATGACAATGATAGGAATGAAGCGAGAATATCAAATCTGTTTTACAAGCGAAGATGAAACCAATAATATGATATAACGTTAGCTATGAAGGAAACGAGTATTTTTTTCGCTGAAGAAAGATATTGTGCCGCAAATTTTAACGTATCGAAAGAATAACAATCTGAAATATACAACCAAACATTTAATTTAAGCAAGTATTTAATGCATATTGCACATTCTTTTCGTTTTAAAGCAATCCCATTGAATGCTCGAAGAAATTTTTATTTAATCTTGCTGATAATCACTGATAATATAATTATCTTGAAAACACTACACGGATGTTTTTCTTGTTGAGAACATATGGAGGACAGGTTTCATTTTAAAACGAAAAGAATCATCATGTCAAAAATTCGACAATTATTTTATATATATATATATATATATTATCTATTATAATAATTTTTATTTCTTATAATTTAATGCTCTTCATCGTTCTGTATTTATATATTTATAGAGATATATTTATATATAAAACACATAGCTATGACATACCAAATGTTGTTTGCTTAGCAATGCGACTCTGATATTCAACGTTCTTCACTAATTAAATGCACATGCATGAAATTATAAAAGCGGGTGTACGATCGTTTTGATTAGAATTATTCTTATGACGGACAATGTATGTGTGTGTCTGTGTATGTGTATATAGCTTTGTATATACAAATCTTTTAGTAAGCTTAGCTAACAATACAATTTTCATACTATATGAACTTAAATATCCCAAATATTCGATGAGTCATAAAGTTGAGGAGACTATCGCAGACGTTTCGAAGGATCAAAGTACACCGGATCAATTGATTGATCGAGTCGCATCGAGCCGAGAAACGAATAAAATGTAATATTTTTCTTGCACGTTACTAAAAATTATTATAGTTCCTATAAAGTGAACTAAAAATTTTCCCAAAGCGAAGAAGTTCTCAGAACTTCCCAATAAAGAATCTTTATACTTTAAAAAGAAAGAAAAACAAGATGAGCGTGATAAATATTAAAAAAAAAAATTAACAATTACAAAAGAGTAATAATATAGTCCACATGTCACGCCAAATGTCGAGTCGGAATTAAGTGAGATATACAAGTGATTCGCAACAATGATATAACACGGCTATAATAATTTACCGTAAGCGCTCACTTAATACAAACTGTATCATTTACGCGAGTCCAAAGATTTTAAATACTTTTGCAGAATTGTGTGAATATGGAATCGTGTAAGGAGAAAGGGATAAGGGAAGGGAGGAAACTCTCTCTTGTTAGCATTACATTTTCTTTATAATTCTTCAATGTGATATTCCCTTAGGGCGCTGCATATTTAACAATTTGTTAAAAGCTAGTTATATAATATTATGTCCCAAGTTAGTGTGGCTCTTAAAATATATGGCAGTCATCCGAACGCAAACAGATATGTTTGCAGGAAAAGAAGTCAAGTAAAATACTGCGGTGCGATAATATGATAATGAAAGCGATATATCCTAAGCGATCAGCACGGCTGGAATCGTTCTTACCCTCCTTTTAGTATATTGTCGGAGATTATATCTACTCTGTAACGCGAGAACTCGCATGAAATGCAATAAAATGCATTAAAAGACGTTAAAAATTAGAACTCATCATATAGAATAATTATAAAAATCATCATAAATCATGGACCAAGATATATCTCCTCCAATCCACGTTCTTTACAGACACAACAAGATCGAATCCGTCTTCTATCGAATTACGTTCTTAAAGGATTGCTGAATGTAAAAACATCACAGCAACTTATAAAATACTTTGTACCACAAAGAAGACATCATTTATTTCACTATTTCCGCGACAAAGAAATGATCGTGCATCTTAATGCGTGACAATATATACGCAAAATGTAATAGAATTAAATCCGGTGTTAAAAGTCTGATCACGCTAACGTGGGACATGAAAAATGTCGCTTGTTCTTCAACTAGCAATATTGCAAAGTGTCCAAAATTCATTGAAGAACTAAATTTAATTAGACTTTCAATAGCCTACACTTGTAAATATCAACATATAACCGTTAAATATCTCCGTTCTTCGAAAGTAGGCGTTTTCAAAGACCCGCGTTCAATCCGTCCTTCAATTCATTTCATTACACCGTGGCCATGTCTTCTAATTTTATATTAGCGTTGCTTTAACCATGTAGAGCGACGAAACATTTCTGATAAACACGATGTTGTGCAGACGCATTACGAGCGGCTTTACACCGTACTTCACTGCTCCAGTTTAGCTGAAAATTAGTAAACGTGAAAGGTGATAATTATTTTATCATTATGACAACCAATAACTGTCATTTCCAATTATTGTTTTTGTATTACAATTTAGTTCAAGTATATATACGACGACGAGCTTACAAGAGAAAGGGTATACTATAGGAAATTAAAATCCTTGTACAAATCATTAAAATGCGTTTTACAATTTTTCAACATATTTAATGAGTTGCGTTAAATAAAATTTAATATTAGCAAAAATTTAAATTAAAATAAATCACAATAATTGATCATAAGTCATCGCTCAAAACTTGAAAAAAAAAAAATTCGTTATACTTTTTCTACTTTCAATTATTGCAGCTTTTATACACTATTATTTGTGGAATACATATGTTACATAAGAAGAATGCTAGTATATAAGAATTTCAACGCATCATAAACAATTATATATCACTTATAACTAATATATAAAAATAGCAAATATTCCGTCTTTAAAAAGCCACATATTATAAAATATGTGTCTCGCATGTGTCTGAAAGTAGACACGCGGACGATCGGTTACCTCTACGATAAAAGTTCCTGGGAATATTCTGATAGCAGAAAAGCGTGAAGAATAAATGACGATGATCAGAAGCGGGTGGTCGAACATTGCTACAATATAGAACTTGACAATGATACACAATAATCTGAGTATCTACATAACATATTATCTTATGCGAAATAAAAAAAGTATTCAA